ATAAGAAATAAAAAAGATAAGGAATTGGAATATTCAAAAATAAATTTCTTAACAGTTTTATCATTTTATAGGTCAATTTGTATCTCCTTTAATATGTCTGAGAATCAATGGCGTAGCCAGACATTTTCTGAGAACTATGGGGGGGAAGTTCCATCAAGAAAGAGAATAAAAACAGTCAATAGCAATCAGAGCAAAATGATGACGCGGATTCTGACCCCCAAACCTCCCGTGGCTACGCCACTGCTAAGAATAGTAGGTAATAACAATATATGTTCTTTGTGGGACGGTTACTCTGACATGGGGAGAAATATTACAAGTGTATAACAGATACAAAGTTGGTCCCAGGATGCTTCCCTGTGGTACTCCTGCTTTAATTTCTTTCAATTCAGAGTTTTACTCTAAAGAATCTAACAGAAATGTATGAATCTAATAGCTCTGAGTATGGCTGTGGACGTAGCACATTCAGTTTATGTTTTAAGCCATCCTGCCATGCTTTATGAAAAGCATGCGCAACATCGAGGAAGATGGTTGAACAGACTTCTTTGTTTTCTAATGCTTTTTCAATCGCTTTTGAGATTCTATGGACCTGATCTATAGTTGAATGGTTTTCTCTAAAGCCGAACTGGTAATCTGGAATTAGTTTCCTTTCTTCAATGATGGTTTTCAGTCTTTTTATTAGTATTTTTTCAAATAGTTTCGATATTATATGCAATAAAGATATTGGCCTGCTCGGAGGTTTTCCTTCAGCTACTTTCCACAACCTAGGGACATACCTTAGTTTGAACGAGGCATTAAACAGGTGTGCAAGTTTGATTATGGCTTTCTTCTTAAGTAGTTTTAAGATTTCTCCTGTAATTAAATCAAAGCTTTCTTAGGATTAATGTTTGTTTTTATATCTTCTACAATTTCCTTTGGAAAGGTTGGTCTGATAATTGAGTCATCTCTCTCTAGAGGAGCCCAGTTTGGTAATTCTTCTCTTTCAATTGATTGGAAAGTATTTTGTAAGTGATCTACGAATCTATTAACTTTTTGTATATTATTTCTAACCCAGCTGCCATCTGTATTTTTGTTTGGAGCATTCTGCACAGTGGGCCTTTTGATTCGATTTATCTCTTTTTAACTGCTGGGTGGCGTATTTAAGTTTGGTTTTATCTGGTCTGATGCCATTTCCTCCTTAGTTTTCTTTTTTGCAGAGAGTAGGTCCTTTATTTCTTTAGAATAGTTATTTCCTGTTGTTCGCTGCTTGTTGTATGTTGGACACAGTACAGTAATAAATTATTACTAATTCGTAGGGAATTGTAAACAAATTTGGTTTAGTAATTGTTCGTCGTTTAACATTCCACCTTCTTTATAGGCTCCGAGACTACGAATTAAGTCACTTATCCAGACTATGGCCGGTTCAGTGACTGCTGAGCTGTGTTTTGAACAGTAATTCAGCGCGATAACAATCTAAAATAAAGTATAAAAGAACTGAAACCAAAACCACTTTTGGGGTAAATCAATTAAAAAAAAGAACCATCCTGTTTTTAGGTACTTATGGTGTTCAAAATAAAAATATTGATTTGTAAACACGGTTTACAAATACTGTTCGTTTATATTCGCAAAACTACCACAATGCACGCCACCAATAAAATATTGGATATCTGTTCGATATCATATTTCCTGGGTTGGGAGAATACAATGGAAACTAAATGACCACTTGAAAATAAATTGTCAAGAGAGCTAAAAACAGCCGAGCGCAGCAAGCTGATGCACTACACAATCGATTACAAGCGATATTAAAAGGATTTAGTAGAAAATTATTCGATCAAAGCAAGTATTTATGGTTTTTATATCTGCCAAAGCAGTAGCGTGATGAAAAATACAAGGTTTTTAGGGGCTATGACAATTAGCTGAATTGGAGGATCATTAGAAACATGGTGAAATTAATCAGGACCGCCGAGAGCCAGACAATTCTCCAGATCGGGCACCGCGACAATTTTATAAAAAATTAAAAAACGAAAGGTCTTCAAGCAAAAATTTCTCCTTCTCTACTTGAAACTATCAAAAAAAAAAAGGTCTTCTTCCCCCCTCTTCAATCGAACTTATGAAAGTAACAAACACCACCACTGCCGGGCCACCCTATACCGCTTCCGGGCCACCCTATATCGCTGCCGGGCCCCCCATTTGAGCCCGGGCCCCAGGAATTAGTCCCGGCTGCCCCCCCCCTCTAGTCGGCCCTGGAAGTAATCTTCTAAGATACTCAGGTTCAAGGTTCAAATATTGGTCTACAGCCATTCGCTTAGTGTCCAGATTTCAGCAAAAACCGTCTCTTGTTATTTCCATGCGATTGAAAATTGTAGATACAATCATTTAGTTTTAGTTCCAGGAGGAATTATCTCTTAAGGAGTTCTTTTTTTATAACCGTACCTGCGACATGAAGTCTAGCGCTGGCCATATCGAGACTCGAGAAACCGACTTGAATGTTTTCTATTGCAGTCTGACGCGTGCAGGATAATTTCCAGAACTTCTAGATTGAGCTTTTAGTCAGAGTTGGTTCTTTGTAGGTTTTATTTTTGTATAAATAGCGCGACTTCGTTGGTAGACGTTAAGTTTCAATAGATCTGTATAGTAGAGGTAAATTGTAATAAATTAGAATTGTGAGTCATAATAGTGTCTAAATATTAAATTAGTTAATTAGTACGTTAGAAATAAACTATTTATAAATTAAGCAATCGTTACAATACCAGCTTCTCGGAACTGCATAAAGATGATTAAGTAATTATATTATTTAATTGATAGGATTTAAGATTATGCAGAAAATGTGTTATATATCAAATAACATCAAAAATTATTGTTAATAATGATTATGCCGTGATTAAGGAGAATTTTATCATGCAAGACTATGATAATACTTCATTAAAAGCAAATAACCAGTAATAACAAGTGTTTAATATTTCCTGTACATTTTCTATAATCTATAATTTCATAATCTTTTTTAAATATTTTATTATATTATTATTTCTAAATAATGGCCAATAACGAACAGATGTCGTTAATTAAAAAACTTAATTTAATTCTGAACAGAAGCGAGAAGTAATAAATGTAATTGCACATTTCCCAAATTCTCAAGACAAAATGGTATAATGGAGGATTTGTTTTACAACTTTTGTTTAAAAAATGAAAAGGAACTAAAAGCGTAATCAGTATAAATTGTTATTTGGAGACATGTTTATTGTTCCTCAGGATTTTAAGTGAATAAAAATTGGTTATTATGCGATTCCAAGTAAAGTAATCTAATTTCACGGATTACAATTATGGTTTATTTTTAGAACGATTGCATATTAAAAAACAAGGCGTTCTGGAGCTATTAAATACGAAAGTTCTCTAAAGAGAATAATTTCTAGTGTTTCTTCTCATTTTCTTCGTTTTAATACAAGAAAAACAACTATAAATACTCCCACGTTTATAAAAAAAGGCGTCGTCTAGCGTATACAGGGAGTTTCATAATATATGCGCAGGACTCCAGGACGTAATAGCTCGTCCAAAAATATGAAAAAACGTTTCTATTAACTTACCCTCTAAAATGCACCATTTTCGAGATACAGGGTGTTGAAATTGAAAAAAAAATTCTACGCCACTGGAAAAAGTACGGTTTTGAGACGCCCAAATTTTTTTGGAAATAAAACAAAATTTGATTTTTCTCGAAAACGGTCGACTTTAGAGCGTATGACCAAGAGTGCCTTTTTTGTGTAGAAAACATTGGCGGTTCAAATGGGCGTCTCAAAACCGTACTTTTTCCAGTGGCATAGAAATTTTTTTTTTCAATTTCAACACCCTGTATCTCCAAAATGGTGCATTTTAGATGGTAAGTTAATAGAAACGTTTTTTCATATTTTTGGACGTATCACGTCCTAAAGTCCTGCGCATATTATGAAACACCCTGTATAGCGAATGTAAATACAAAAATCAATCTACTAACATGGCTGAAAAATTGATTGTTTTTTTTTGTCCCGACCTAAACAAAGATGTGGCTACTTTTTTAGAGTAAACACTAAATATTTCTAATTCCTTCTGAGCCTTTAGCTTTACTCCGATTTTTTCTAAAATTTTCACGAAATACAAATTAATAAAAAAAATTAGGGTGGAGTAACCTTTGAAAAGTAATAATTTTTAAAAGGAATTAAAAAACACATTTGCGCGCCATTTTTTATTAAATCTGAAAAATTTGTTGCTTTTTGTTTTAATAATTATGTAATAGTTTTTAAATGAGAGGATTTCCAAAATTTTTTCTTAAATGTTTCTGTAGGATGCTTCATTTTCGTTACAGAAATTTAAAGCTCTCGATATTCTCGAAACACATAACATCGCGAAGATTTCCAAGTGACGCGGCATAAATTCAATTTTATATTAGAAAATAACCGTTCTTTGTGGACCGTTCCATTTTCAGTTTTTTCAATTTTTACTTTATCTCGAATAGCATATTAAAAAAATATATACAGTGTGTCCAACTTAAGTTCGCAGCATATGGGAAACTTTTTTATTATTAAAAAGTTCTTTGAAGTCCAAAATGCAATCATCAGATATCAAATTTTTACAATAGTATACGAGGTATGTCAAATAATACGAATTTTGCTGAAGTTACCTTTATTTTTGAAAAACCTCGTGTATGACTGAAAAAATTTAATATCAGATGATTGAATTTTGGGTTTTAGGTCAGAAAGAAGTTTTTATAAAAAAAGTTATCCATATGCCGTAGACAGTTGGCGGCATAAAATATTCTTCATAAAAAATTGTGCATGATTTAAAACCAAAATTATAACCATCAGATATCAAATTTTATGAGTCATATACGAGATTTGTCAAATATATAGGTACTTACTCTTCAGCAAAATTCATATTATTTGACATACCTCGTATACTATTATAAAAATAACTCTTTTATCGTAAAGTTAATAATAAAAAAGTGGACACACTATAAAAAAGTTTAATATGATTTTTAAATGTGTTGAAAAACTTACTTTGAGATGAGGTCTTTCAGGGTCCATTTTCTGTCGTTCATATCGATCTTCAAATGTTTTATCCCAATATTCTTTGCTTTTCATCCAGGAGGGCTGCAACATAAAAATGAATTGATAAAAATTGATCAAATTGAATCTAAACGTATGAATTAAAATAATCTCTAGAAGATCATAAAAACTTAAAGGGGGTTACATCTATACTGCTGGCTACTCTAATTAAAGACTGTGTAAAATTTTTTATTCGTGAAATAATTTAAAAAAAAACTCTTCGTGCATCTAATTTAATCCTTTCTCGAATAAATTAAACTATCAAACGAAATGCACTCAGGATATCTACCTACCATTGAAAAATTCTGCGCCTATCATATAATCTCCCTTGCAAAAGTATCCATGTCTGAAAAGGTCCATATATCGTAATAGTAATTCTGTATGCGGCATACGCATTCAGCGTCCGCGGCTGAAGGTGCTGGAATACAGAAATTCCGTAACGCGATACTGTATGCGTCGCCCGGTCCGTGTGGAAAGTTCCATTTGAACGTATGTTCAGCCTGAATCTCGGATACGCGTATCTCGCATACAGTATCTTCGTGAGAAAGAGCTCTAAAAGTTTGTCTACTACAAATGCACCTTTTGTTTTTTGTTCTTCGTTTTTTGTCATTTGTGTGTTCGTGAAGACATTCTTTGAATTTAAATTTTGTCTAAAAACCTCTATGTGTAAGTTCGAGTGGCCAGCAGTTTAGTAGTATCGTAGGTTATTAACAATCCAAAAATTACATTATATTATATGTAAATAATAATTATTTATTAATTCATTAATCTTCGTTCAAATAAAACTTTCGAAATCAAAAAAAGTAAAAGTAAATATGTATTGATCACATCCAGTAGTAAAACGTTAAGCGTCTCATCGTAGCCCAGGTCAGGGTCATATACATTCATGACACACACATTTGAACGGCTTCTTAAAATACGGTAATTTAACGAACCGTCACTATTGAAAGTATTGAAGGCCTTAAGGTCAGGAACAAATAATGTTCTTTTCGACCGTATCAGATCCGTATTGGAAGTTAAGCATTTTAAAGGTTGTTTGTTATTATTATACTCTTCACTCAGTAGGCTGTGAAGAGTATTATAGGTTTATTTTCAAAAATCCAAAATTTTTAATATTTGATCAAATTTAAAAAAAATTGTACCAAAATATTTTAAAAATGTCCGTCTGTCTGTCCGTCCGATGTTACGTTTTTGTTCACACCACTAGTCAAAAACGAAAAATGATATCAACTTGAAAAATCAAGCTCCATAAGGGGACGGAACTTATTCATTTTGAAAAATATCTGATTAAAATAAATGGGTTAAGGGGGGGTTGAACTCAAAAGCGAAAAATGATATCAACAAAGAATATTATTATTAACATCTTTAAACTGTTTATATGTATATATAAAGCAGAGAGGGGCTTAAGGGATTAAAACAAGATCGGACTGTTCGAAAATGGTTCGCCACACATTAATCAAATTTTATTTGTATTTAATAAATGAAATTATTTCATTTCACACAAATATGCGTTGCTTTACTTTCAGCTATATTTAAATAATCTCTCAGTTTTAAAAATGACACTACTTTTTACAAAATAAATTTAATTGTTTTAATAATTCAATTTATTAAATTAATTAAATTGTTATGGAAAAATTATTAGAAGACTGGAAACTGTCATCATTGTGGGGTATTTTTATACTTCAAATCATAGATTTGCAATGCCCCTGTAGTATTTTTTCCATTATATAAATAGGGCTTATGCGTAATGGAATGATCAAAAAATAATTATTTACGCATAACTATTTTTCATAATACATACAAATAATAAATTGATCATTATACGTACATTAAAAGAAAATAAAAAAAAAAAACAATACCGTATCTACTATATCCCGAATAAAAAGAAAATAACTTTATAGGCATCGATAGATAAAACTGCAATTAAGCTAATATCTTTATGAACGCGATAATTAAACAGTATTTTTATTCTAATGTACCTCTACATTTTGTCGAGCGTTTTGTTTTGGACAATAAAATGTCTTAACAGTAAATATCAATAAAAATCGCCATTATATACCAGTAATATTTTTAAAACAGTATTTGCTATAAAAAAAGTATTAAAAAGAATAATTTTACCGCTTTCTACATAAAAGAATATATTTTAACTAACATTAACTAAAAATAATCAACAAAGAATATTCTTCTAACTTGCCAAACATAATGTAAAAGTCTTTAAAATTGACTAGGTTTTGTTTTCCTTAAGTAAAATGGGTGTTGTCTTTTACTATGATGACATTCGTGTGCCATAGTTGAGCTATCATTCATAATAAAAAGATATGAACAACGTTGAATTACTTCTGAAGTAAAAGGTTCAAGTCAAAATTTAAAAGGACTGTTTAGACTTCAAATCCCGGCATCAAAAAAAAGGTATCGTAATCTTAAGAAAAGTTATTATCAAAATATTGCGGATCCCATAAAACAGGCTTGGCAGGTCTCATTTAAACGAAAGAAAAAAATTGAACTCAATGAAAACACTACTTATTTGTAAAGTCAACAAGTTTGCAAGTAGAACCATAGGAAGAGAGTTACTAAAGTATAAAGAGAAGGGAGGAGAATTGAAGAAGGAACAAAAATCAGTCCACAGGAATCATATTCTTAGATGTCGCCAAGACCGAGTATGGCACGCTGGGCTGATTTTTAAGATGAAAGATCAAGGATGCACATGACAAGACTGCTCAGGTCGTACTTCCGCGGAAGGCAATTTCGGGTCAAGATGGGACAAGTCCTATCTAGACCAGGAATCCTGGAAGCGGGAGTACCTCAAGGAGTGGTATTGTCACCACTGCAGTATTCCATTCACACGGCGGACATCCCCAAAATCCAACATATTACCATATCCCTCTACGCGGACGATACAGCGATATCGGCAACGAGCACACAGCCAGGACTCATATCAAGACATCTACCAGACGCAGCGGAAGACACAGAAGAATGGTGCATAAGATCGAAGATCAAGATCAACGCGGAGAACACAGACTGTGCTGTTCAAGAAGAGACGTCACCTTCCAGGAGAAGAAGTAACGATGAATGGACAGGACATCCCATGGACCGACTCAACCAGGTACCTTGGAGTTATTATGGACCAAAAACTCACCTTCACAAATCACGTGGACATGGTAGTAAAGAAGACGAAACAGGCAAGATTTAGACTAAACTGCCTAATAGGACGTAAGAGCAAACTCCTACTACATACGAAAATGAGGCTCATCGAGGCAGTAATTATGCCTGTACTGATGTACGCCCTGACGGCGTGGGGTTACATCTATAAATCAAACAGGAAGAGGACACAATCACAACAAAATATCAACTTGAGATGGGCCTCAAATGCCTACCGGTATACCAGAAATGACATAATTATGAGGGATCTAGAATTCAAGAGGGTTTTAGACCTCATTCACAAGAAGTCCACGGTTACCTTCGAAAAACTAAGGACGCATCCCAATATTGAATTACGAGAACTAACAGAGTATGAGAGAGCGGATTATAGGAGACACGCCAGACCACGCAAAGTGCTGGATTATTGTGGCGATTGACCGAACTACGGAAGGTGTAAAAATTCAAGACGCTCATAGATCATAAGATTTCTCTTTCAGCATTCTCTTTCAGAATATGTTACAAGAATACAACACGCGATTCAGACAAGGACTGAGCGACAAACGACAACGCACCTGGGGGAGAAGGTCCTCCTAGTCGCCAATGGAGACTGGGAGAGCTTTCACAGGTGGCGAACTCTCACAAAATGAGCAAACACAAGACAAACAAACGGACAACGAAACAGGGAAATGCCCTCAGCAAACCTTGTCTAAATGATGATAATATGTTATCCTTTACAGTCCTTTAAGAAGGACTGACATATTAATCGGATGGATTGAACTTAAGGCCCCCTGAGTGAAGTTGGATGGGTCGATGGTGTCAGGAGGGTTTCAATCCAGTAAAACAGGATGGGAACCTACCTGACTTGGGCTCAATTAAGGTGTGTGTGTGTGTGTGTGTGTGTGTGTGTGTGTGTGTGTATGTGTATGTGTGTGAAGAATGAATCGGTAGAGACAGAGGTTAAAAAGATGAATAAGTTAACGAATAAGCGATTATCATAGAAGAACTGGAAATGAATTAGTGGCTTTTCCATGGTATTCTCTGACTAATTTGGAGTGCTGTGTACTGTGAGCTGTAGAATTCGTTCGTTCTTTTTTTAAATTAAGTTGTTTGATCAGTATAAAATAATACTCTATTAATAAATAGGAAACAAAACAATCTAAAACTATAAAAAATTGTTGATTGCAGAGGATACATCGACTATAGATATGAGCTTTATCTTATTATTTAATATTTTGCGCATCTATCGAATTGCGACAAAAAATAATATAGTTTTGATAAAAATGAAAACAAGAGGCTGGCTTATAATAGTAACTAGATACTTACGCCTCATGAATTTTGTAATATTAACAGTTTCAGCAAATATTTAACCGAACTTATTTTACGATTTTAATTAAATATTGTTTAATGTGGGACATGCATATTACATTAATATCGAAATAAATGAACGTAATGACATGCATTAATAGGCAGTAGCGTAGCAAGACTGCAATTTGTTTTTTAATCCGGTAAAATATCTAAAGTTTAATAACTATAAATTTCCAAATTTATCAAAATTAATTTTACCTTCTACGAAATAATGAAAACTATTTTTGGTACCCTTAAAATTGAAACAAATTTATTGAAAAACTGAGACTATTCTGTTAATATTCAAATTGGCAACTCTGAATCTGGACATCTAATTAAAGTCTCTAATGATCTCTGATTTATAAAGACATGAGACAAGTCAAGTTTACAGATGGTTTTCAAAACATGACATATTTGAACAAATTAAAATTAAATACAATTATTGTATGATAGTATATACAGGGTGAATCCTAAGTTGAAGCTTTTTTAACTGTATATAGAATTCGTTCAAATAAACTTTTTTTTAATAACTCAAAAATAAGAAAAATACCGAATTAAAAATC